GTCTGCTACTCTTCCTGAACATGTCACAATTCCGCGAACACTAGCTCCATACCTACAACCAATAAAGGAAGTCACGCTTCACGCCTTTGGTGATGCCAGTAAAGATGGTGTATCAGCGACGGTCTACGCCGTGGTCGAGCAAGAGCAGAGGACGACACAAGGTCTTGTGTGAGCAAGATCCCGTCTCGCGAAACGGAACCTGACAATCCCGCGACTGGAGTTGGTCTCGGGCCACATGGCAGTAAACCTCGCGACCAATGTCAGAACGGCACTTACTATTCATCCACCACCAATCATTCACTGCTGGTTAGATTCAAGCGTGGCGTTGTATTGGATGAAAGGCCAGGGAGAATTCCGACAGTTCGTGTCTAACCGAGTACACAAGATCCAGCAACATCGCGATGTTAAGTGGCACTACGTGCCGACGACCAAAAACCCGGCGGACCTAGGGAGTCGCGGAGGAAGCGTTGTGAGCCATACGTTGTGGAGCCAGGTTAAACAAAGCAGCAAAGTGGCCATCCGATATCGTTCTTAAAGCTTCCCCAGAAACTGAGAAAGAAACGAGAGTGACCATCAGAAGTGTTCTCGCCATGGCCGTTCCGTGTTCGAGACGATTTTGACAAGTTATTGGAGTCCCACGGGCTGCGCAAAGTACACAGAATCGGAGCATGGGTACGGAGATTTATTCAAAATTGCCGACAGTTACGTAAGAACCGAAAGTTTGGACCACTGGACACCACGGAAATCGAGCAACAAAAGATCTGGTGGATCAAGCGAACTCAGCAAGATGCTCAGAACAGTGCTCACTTCGAGAAAGACAAGCTACAACTTAACCTGCAACCTAACCATCAACACATCTTCGAATGCAGAGGGAGAATCGAAGGGGAGTACCCAGTTTACCTGCCAGACGACCATCCGTACACCGAGAAAGTGGTAGAGCAAGCCCATTATTTGTCATTACACGGCGGGGTGGCTATGACTATGGCAAAGGTTCGTGAAACGTACTGGATACCCAGACTACGCCAGATGACCAAACGAGTACGAAGCCGTTGTTGGGGATGCAAGAAATTCAGAGTTAAAGCATATCAGTCCCCACCCCCTGGCACCCTTCCATCTACAAGAACCAAAGGATCGACACCGTTCGAAGTTCTAGGAGTAGACTTTGCCGGTCCAATCCGATATCATACGAAAGGGAAATCTGAGAAAAAGGCTTACCTGGCACTGTTCGGGTGCAGTTTGACCAGGGCAGTCCATCTAGAGTTATTAAAGTCACTAGAACTTGGAGACTTTATTGCATGTTTGAAGCGATTTATCGCACGAAGAGGTAAACCGAAGATAATATACTCGGACAACGGATCAACCTTTAAAGCCGCAAGTACTTGGCTTAAGAATTCGAAGGTGGAGAAAGACGAACGTTTAAACTCAAACCTTGCTGACCTATCCATCAAGTGGATATTCAACCTCAGCCGTGCGCCGTGGTGGGGCGGGCAGTTTGAACGTCTCATAGCACTGTTCAAAGCAGCGTCTACAAAACTATCGGAAATGGCACATGCATTGAAGTGGGATGAACTGGAGGAAGTGGTGATCGACGTCGAAACGGCTCTTAACAACCGACCATTGAGTTATGTCAAGGATGACGTAGAACTGCCTGTATTAACACCATATTCAATGTTCCTGAACAATAACAACGTCCAAGAACTGGACCCCCACCACATCGAAGATGGAGATCTCCGAAGAAGAGCTAGGTTTCTCAAACAGTATAAAGAAGCGATGTGGAAGCGATGGAGTAGGGAGTATATACGAGGACTGCGAGAACAACATCGTCGAGCGACCAGTAACGAACAAACAACACACCCACAAGTCGGGGAGGCAGTGATCATAAAGGACGAGCAGAAGAACAGAAACCATTGGAGATTGGCGATAGTGACGGACCTTGTTGTTGGAAGAGACGACGTCGTAAGAGGAGCAAGGCTGAAGACCGAGAAGGGAAGACTCGAAAGAGCGATCCAACAGTTATGCCCGCTCGAATTGTCATGTGATACAACAACGCCACTAAATCCAACCGCGGAGACATTCGAACCAAGAGCAAAGAGAGGAGCGGCAGCAGCAGCTCGTCTACGTATCAAACAAGTGGCGGCGAACGAGCAGGAAAACAACTGAATTCAAGGAAAGAACAATGATTAACTTTGTCATGCAGCAAGCATGTATATCTCTCCGAGAACATACATGGGGGAGTGTGTTATGAAGGTTGACACTTTAGTACATTAATTTCGCTATATTTGGGATTAGTTGATTAATAACTTTATAAGTAGATGAATACTGAGAACAACATTGCCTAATATGGTCATCTATTAGTTTTAGCGTAATGATTGACATTTGGATTAAAGTAAACAATATAGGTTTTTATGGGGCATGTGAAAACAGGGCGTATTATTGTGAGACTGCGAGAAATACGAAGTGATTTATATACGTTTTATACGCGTGTTTATTGTGATTCATTGTGATTGTGGAGAACATCTGTTCAGCGGAGGGAACATTCTCTGCAAGATGTTTCCTTCAAAATTCGCAACAAGAAATCATTTCATTGTGCTGGTTGAGTCACTTCGCTGTTTGCACATAGTTCAGAGATCACTTCGGCTTCACCAACTCTGGCAATGTATACGCTGTTACTAAAAGACCCCCGTGTTGCTAATGTATAGAAAGTGTGTACAGACACATCGATGAAGAAGAAATGTCCATGTTTCTCCTGAAGCAAATGCCCTCAAGCTCAAACCAAAAATTAAACCATGACCATATATTTCATTTGTCACATTACGATACTATAGGCTTCTTTAAAATCAATGTGCAAATACAACATTCTGGCGAGCAGCACTCCCAAATTATCGAATGAACACCGATATCCCGTCAACGAAGCACTGCAGCTTGTTTCAAATGCGCGTTTCTTGTCAAGCGAAGACAAAATTCGGACCTGTTGACTAAGCAACAGGTCGGAATTTTGTCGTCGCCAGACAAAAAATTGCGTTCGTCGCTTGACAAACTAAGGTGTGATCTTGGAGCAAGATTTTTTTTCATGATTCGTGTCCAGACTCCACGAGGGTTTCTAATGGTGAAAAGCAGACTAAACAGTTTTTGTTTGTGACTGGAAATTAAATCAACCCTCATAATTATTTTAATTAATATTGGAATTAAAAGATTGCTGGTCATCAAATCATTGCAGTCACCATCAGCTGGTCCTCTAGAGAGGCACCTATATAGCAGGTTCAGGTTCATTATTCAGACCGTCAATCTTCGATGAAGGACACTGATATTCTTTCAAAGGTTTTTTTCCGCTTGTTCAAAAGTTCGTTTCTTGTCAACCGACGGAATTTTGTCATCACCTGACCAACAATGTGCAGTAAATCTAAGAAATTTGAAGCGATTGACCAAAATCTTGCACCATCTGTAATCGTGTTCTAAAAAGTCACGAACAAGAATATTCATTGGGAAGATTTGTATTCTACAATACTCATTTTTGACAAAAAGCAAAACATTCGTTGCACTACAACTCAGGTCTTTTATTGATAACGATTGAAAGTACCTTTTTATTACGCTTCGTGCTCAACGCTAGCCTGTTTGCAACCTTATTTTATTTCACTTCTCGCGAATATTCACTGAAACCTTTCTACAACATCCTGCAAAAAGCCCGTCATTTCTCCGAAAATTTTATCCCGATATAAACGAGTATATGCTAGGATAGTCCAAATCCCGGAAATGCAATCTTTACAATGTCTTATTTTCTTTGACAATGAAATATTTCCGAACTGTACTGTACATTATAAACAGATTATCGCCGTAACAATAAGTTCAAGAGTCCTTCCCTGAAGGAAATGAGAAAATGAGATACAGATCGTGTGCGAAGATGCAAATACATCTATTAATCAAGTATTACTAACTATTTTGGCGATATACATTGTTAAATCGAAGCCAAAGTTTATGTAAATCAAGACGAATAATCACGAAATTTGTATCCGCTATACAGTTATTGATCAACATTTATTCCTTTCGAGTTTTCTTCCTGAATCACTGAATGTATACGACGATTATTTTCGATATGATTTAAAACAAACGACCTTCTTTTCTTATTTCTATATATAACCCATAGGAACAACGGAACCTACTGTATATAATTTTCAATAAATTGACGATAGTTAAAAAATAGTACTAAACCGAATCCGGAATCTTGTTTAATTAACAAAAACCTTGCGCTCCAGAATAATTCTAAAGAGTAACATTACCTGGTGATTCACCTTACCTTACGTAGTAACATACATCAAGCGATTCATGCTGTTCCTACGGTCATAAAGTGAAACCTAAAAGAGTGCTTTGTACACATCATGGGTTCACCACATGTCTGTGTACACCGTCTTACCTTCACAGATGATCAATGCTAAGCTGAATTATTTGGAATTTCTTTTTTCTGAAATAAACCAAGATAAGCGCATTTTCTCAACTTTTACGGCAATTTTTTTCTAATTTTCATTTGACGAAAATTTCATTCTTGTTAGGTTTTCTTTTCTTCGTTTCTTCTTAAATGGTTCGAAAGAAATACTTCACTTAATTTTTCTTCACGTTTTTTCTCGGAAACTGAGGGTTTTCTTCTTTACTTAGTTGGTTTTCTTTTGTGGATTTTCTTGAAAATTCGGATTTTCTTGAAAATCTTCAATAATTCTTCTAAATCTTCAATTCATTTTCTACCCACTTCATTCTTCAAATTTCAAGCTTTCAGTGCCTGTGATTAACAGGGAATAGAGTTAACACCAAAATTTGATTTCAAAAGTATATTTTATGGTGAGAGTGAATACGCAGCAAGAATCGGGCACTAACGGAGGACAAATAATAAATAGATCATTACAAGAAAAGTAAAAATATTATTGGAGATAACGCAGTGTTCTATGGTGCTAAGATGACCCTTTTATGCAAATAAAGTTGACAAGATAGAAAAGGTCGTTCATGACCGAGTGAGAATACACATGGCATACGGCATACGAAACATTAAATGGTTTATCTAATTACATAAAAATGAAGAAGACAATGAAGATGGAATAAACCAATGAAAAGAAACCTGCACCGTTTGGCAGATTAGAGCATCATGCCCTTCACGTGATTCCATACAACACAATAACTGATGGTAGACAGAATCAAAGTTGTCTGAATTATGTAAAATATATGGCCCCATTTTCCAAACAAAGGTATAAAGGTATTTAATACATACGTGTCCGCCTATGATGCTTATAAAAGCTGGAGAGATATTAAATATATTACACTTAAAAACTATCACAATGATTTAAACTACAGACTTTGTAGAACATAAAATTAATGTCAAAATACCAGAAACACAGCAGAAAATGCAAATGAAGCAACCAAAGCAGCAATGTCTCTATATCTATGCAAAGTCAAAAGTACAGTATACTGCAGATACATGCTGAGGCAAAAAAGCTTTTACCATAATGCCTGTCCTTGTGACATTAATATCAGTTTGAATGAATTAATTCTTGTACTGTATACAGGAATGAATCCTCAGTAACGACCTATAAAAAGTAATTACTTCAGTGAGAAATCTAGGATATATTGAGTGGAGGTTCAAAACTAGAGGCATACTTTCAATATTATGAACATCGCATGGTACTTAATGAGAACTTACGTGGAGATCTGGATCGTGATCGGCTGTAGCGATCTCTTCGATCATCTCGATCATATCTGTCTCTGCTTCGTCCACCACCCCCATGCTCATCACGGCGATTACGGAATCTAAGTTGAGAGATAGACATACCTTTAAGTACTTATTTGTCGCAAGATTTTTAGTTAGGGCCTATCATCACGATATGACTAGTCGTATACGATTCTCATCTTGGCCTATCTACTCGAATAAATGCGTGTAAAATATGTCACATTTCGAATTTCGCCATAAACTGATGAACTGCAATAGTGGCGTCAGCAGCCATTTTCATACGCCACATGACAATTGTATACGACTAGTCGTATCGTGTTTAAAATAAACCTTTAGAGGCAGCAAAACCCAAAAATAAAAATTCGCTGTTTTAATTCAAATATAAAGCTTCCTGTATATGTAAATTTGAGAGAACGTACTAATGGTACGAACATTGTGATAAACTGCATTAATCTTGACTTGCAAAACGTTTTCGTAAACAATGTATTCAAGTGTTAAGATGATAAAAATTTCCTTCAAGATTTCCTGCGAAGATGTTTTCTTACAATTTCCTGGCAGCGGTGCTGCTGGCGCTGCCAGACATTCCGTGCAGAGAGGTACTGTACATGTATAGTAGCTTTTCTAGACTATGGAGTTCAGCATTTTAGACATCAAGAACACAAATCCAATTATGGTGAAATGAAAGTGTTTGTTACCGCTCTATAACAGTTTTAGAGTAATCCTTGTTAGCTACGAGTGAGTAATCCTTGTTAGCTACTAGATTATGGCATAATGGCAACTGGAGTAGAGTATAAATTTACAAAAAATGTGCCAAAAACAAGGTTTTGATATAAAACATTGATAACTTCTATAGTTTAGTTCCTATTCTCTTTGGGTAAAAGGTGACAAATGTTATCCCGAGCCAACGACGCGGAGCGCCGTTGCGGGCGAAAGCCCGGTGCGAGTGTACTAATTCCGCCCGGCTATTTACACCCGTGGAAACGAAAGCATTAGCGAAGTCTAAAGTTCATCAATGATCGCGGGCGTGGGTGACCAACGGTGTTGGAGTGTTGGGTCACAGAGTAGAGACATACAGAGACGTAACTAGTGTACCCACTTTTTTTGTGCGCATGCTCGGCAAGTTACTAGATGCATGCATCTGATTGGATGACAACCTGATGACGGCTCACTTTAAACTTGCTGAGCACGCGCAGTTGACCATTTTTCGCCCGGTCGCCTGAAAAAAAGTGGGTACATGATAACGTAATCTTCCGCAATGTTTACGACGGTCAGTTACGTCTCTGTATGTCTCTACTCTGTGGTTGAGTGGATGGTCATCCTCGCTGATCTCAAAAATATGGCGGACTGTCATGAATAGCGAACACTGATTGGTCAAATTTAAAATTTGCATTATAACGACTGCATGACGACAGCGAAATAGCAAACATTTTTTGATTTGACGATTTCTTGCAAATATATTTAATTTTTGCAAGATTTTGTGAATTTCAAAAGCTTTCTAAGAAAATAAAGGCGAAAGAATTGCTAAAAGAAGGTTTGTTTTAAATATTGATGTACTGTTCGCTTTATAATAGCTTTAAAAGCTGATCGTTACATATATTTTAAATGAAAAAGACAGAATATACTTTCAGTGTTTCTTTATTGATTACCCTTTTTTATTATATTAAAATTTTTAAATAAAAAAAAAGCAAAGTTGTTTGAATGCAAGAATTTGAAATCATTTTATTTCAAACTCAAAGCTTATCGATAACGGCAATTTAGTTTTATAAAGAACATTTTAAAACGTCTTGCGAAGCGTTTGAGGTTGAATTTTACCTTAAATTGACGCTCATATTACGTATAATAATATACATAAAGATATTACTCGACTGTGATTGGTTGATTTCAGTGCAGTTAATCCCTAACAGCAGTGCAATTTTCTGTAATCACAGTGCACTTTTCTGTAATCAAAGTGCAATTTTTTGTAATCACAGTGCAAAAATCTGTAACAAACTGATCTGATTGGTGGAAAAACATTGTGACGATTAAATCAACCAATCAGTTTAAAGCAATTTAGTTTAAAGAAGTAACGGTCACATATTCATTGCTTCCAAACAAAACAAACATGGCGCCGCACTACATAAAGTAAAAGTTGCCTTCGCGTGGAAAATATGGCTTTTTAAATGGAAAAACATTTACCTTAAATAAGACTAACAAAAATTACATAGTTGAGTGGAATTTTCAAGCTGTTAGCGTTGTATAATGTGATACAACAAAGCCAGGAAAACTTTGCCGGTGGAATGTTCGCTATAAACAGGTAAGTTAAAACTACAATTGTCTCAAACATTTTTATGTAAATTATTAATACGTAATAGCATGGTTTCTCGTGAAATTTGGATAAACATGCACTCGTGAGTTTTTCAAAGACCTCAAATAGCACTCGTCCTTCGGACTCGTGCTATTTTGAGGTCTTTGAAAAACTCACTCGTGCATGTTATATCCAAATTGCACTCGAAACCATGCTATTACCTAATAACATACCTAACATATATATTACTAATAACATACCTAACATATATATGTGTGGGGAATTGATAATTTTGTAATTAAAAGTGATATTTTTTAGGGGATTTTTGACATTTTTCATTTGTAAAAATATTCTTAACAAAATTATCGTGTTACCATGACAACTACTTTAAATACTTCACGTTCGGAAAATACAATGGTTTTGTCAGCAAGGCGAGGGGTTTCTGCATGCATGCATTTTCTAGTTTACTGTAGATTCGAAGTAGATAACTTACTGTGAAGGTTTTCCCATATACACTCCTGGTGTTGGTGTGTGAGCTCTTTGTGTGATGGAGTAATCAACACGAACACGGCGACCATCCAATTCAAGTCCACTTGTTTCTTCTTTTACCTAAAAATATCACAATTTTGTTATTGGAAATGTGAACATTATGTCATTATCCGGTTTTCAGCTGCTAATTGTGGTGATTGACAGTTAACGTTATACATAATTTACAGATAAGGGACGATGCACGGGAAACGAGGGCACATATGATTAGGGCGCGAAGGAAGAAACGTTGAGTTGGCACTAAAAAACGATTGCTAATTGAAAGAGGGCCCCCTATACCCCTTCGCAATATGCTTTCACGTAAAAAAATTTTGCCTTTTCACGAGTCACGAAAAATTGAAAAAATTCCTTCACGTTCACGGAAAAATCGAAGCGATCACGATTCACGTAAAAATAAAACAAAATTCACGAATTATTATAGGATGTCTTCCTTAATTGTAGAATCATTGTACTCGTCTATGGGGCGCCAAACCTGACAAAATAAAATGGTTCGTGATATAAAGTATATTAAAATTTACCCTTCTGATATAAGATATGATACGCGAGGTAGCTCGTGATATAAAGTATAACTTATGTACACATCAATATATAGGATATAACCTTAATGACACAATATACAAAGTATACTTTAACTGTCCGCGATATAGGTTATAGAAATAGACTGGGGCGAGTTTTTAATTATTCATGTCAGCCATTTTAAAATTCACTTCCGGCTTCCGACTGCATCGTTCAAAAGTGGGCGAAATTGTGGGTGATTCACCACATTATTAACACTTGTCCTCATATTATTAGTATCATCAACAGTTACAGGCGCCGAAGTTGACGAGCTTTCTCCACTGAACGCCATTTAAGTTTCCGCCATTATGCTAAAATATCTGCTAATCTATTTACTACATTTCCCGCGTTAACTCATTTCGTTAATTTATTACTGATTAATTTTCCTGATTAAATTTCAAAGCCGGCAGTACATGAATAAAATGGCAGTACATGAATAATTAAAAACTCGCCCCAGTCTATTTCTATAACCCCTATCGCGGACAGTTAAGGTATACTCTGTATATTGGGTCAGTAAGGTTATATCCTATATATTGATGTGTACATAAGTTATACTTTATATCACGAGCTACCTCGCGTATCATATCTTATATCAGAGGACTCAGAGGGGTAAATTTTAGCATACTTTATATCACGAACCATTTTTATTTTGTCAGGTTTGGCGCCCCATACTCGTCTGTACTTACCTCGACATGCTTTCAAACCTCCAACTATGTCGAAAACAGGCTCCTGTACATCAAGTACTTCAAAAAACAGCAACAAACCGTATTTATACCTTGGAAAGCTGATCACACAAAACAGATGATTCACGAATCACGCATATTTCTATCTGCCATTCACGGGTCACGGTTAATTCGAATCTTTCCTTCACGTGCACGTAAAAAGATTGGAAGTCATACTATCACGAATCACGGACTAAGAAAATCATCGATCACGTTTCACGGCTAAGTAAAATAAGCCCATCACGCTTCACGCAAAAAGTATAGGGGGCCCTCTTGAAACGTTTACTGTACAGGATATGTGTTAACTTATAATTACCAAGTATATGGTTTGCAACATTTTTTCAAAGACTTACCTTCGCAGCTTCTTCTTCATCACGGAAATATGCAAATGCAAACCCTCTTGATCTTCCAGACTAAATGAGAAATAAGTGGTATTTAGAATGTTTGATTTAAAACATTCTATCCTGACGTAACATACATATACAGTTGAGAAGAGTAGCTATCATACTGTAGTAAGGACGAGTCACTCGCAAGTGTTTTGAGTACTCGTAAATCTTTGCTTTTTTGATCACATTTAACTGAGTCTGAACACTTGAAATATTCACACAAGTAGCAATACAAACAAGTATGCTTGACTGTTTCAAGTACTCACAAGTTAACTATATGTTAGTCAAGGACGGCACTGCAGAAAGCCAATATTTCGGATGAAACTCACCTGATGATCATAAACCAATTGGCATGAGTCAACAGTTCCATATTTTTCAAGAAAATCTTTTAGGTCTCTTTCTGTTGTGTAAAGACTCAGTCCAAATATTCCAAGACAGTTTGACCTTGGTGGGTCATCCTGTATTTAATAACATAGGAGCATTGTTTGAGAGTAGCAGACAATTTTACATTTATGAAGGGGGAGGTATTGCAGGTTCATAGGTAAAATACAGGGCAAAATTACATGCAAGATCAGTAATAATTACCCTGTTTCCATAATGTCTTCGGCGTCTTGAAAATGGTGAAGATCTATTGCAAAAGAACCATCAATTATAAGTTTAGAACATAAATCTACCTGCTGTTAAATCATATAACAAAAATAAGACTACAATAAGTCAATAAATTTGTTAAAACTTACCTTCTCTTGTAGTAAGGACTTTTAGATCTTGATCGGGAATATTTTTTTGATCGCGAGTGTCGAGAACGTGAACCGGACCGAGATCTTCGTGGTGAACGAGACCGTGACTTTGAACGACTGTATGAACGAGACCTAGGATTTAATACGAAACAATTAACCTTTCTCACACTGGCCAATCCGTCATTCATCCTTTGTTAACTGTAAATTTACCATCATACACACAACTATAGTGATAAAAAGCATGGCCGGATTTTAAGGGGTGTGGGAGATCATTTTGCACCTTGAACCTGCGTTGGTGATGAAAAGTTGAATTTTGCTGTGCGTACACTCTCACGCAGTACTTCAAAAATGGCGGATAAACCAAGTGTGAGAAAGGCTAATTAGGTCATGCAGGTCTATACAGCAGAAAAGTGAGTCATATTACATTAAAATTACATTTGATAAGCACAGGTTTTTACCAACCTTGAACGTGATCTGGACTTGCTGTATGATCGAGCTCGGGGTGAATGTGATCTGGACTTGGATGCTGATCTATCTTTCCTGCCATTTTTATCAGGTGATTTCTAGAACAAGAGTGTAACTTGGTTCAGGATCATCACTGATATATTTATTTTTATTTAAACATATTTATGCGTTTGCCGCAAGAGCGATATAAGCTCATCTAGGTACTGATACTATTGAATATAATAAGCTTGGGCAATTTACTAGTCATATATTTTTTGAAACTTCAATCTTTTTTCTTAGCAATGTTGCCATATGTAGCGATGATGCAATATGTAGGATGCTACATCCAATGACATCAAATTAATGTCTTTTCAAACTGAATTATTTAGCTAAATCTGTATAAACCTTCAGGATGTAACAAAATTATAACATTGACCCATCTAAAGTGCTGATGTCACAAAACATTTTATTGCATTTTTTAATAGTGGAGAGGAAATGAGCGACTGTAATAAGTTCTTTAAGGTGGCTCCCTAGGGTTTTTGCAATACTACATTACAGTATGTAAAGTGACGAAACAGGGGTTTTCTGGATGACATGAAAACAAAATTTATTGGAAAATGGCAAAATAGAAAAAGTTGCGCACAGGAAAGGGCCCGGCACTTGTCTGACATTGCTTAACCATTGTGCCCTAGTAAAATAATAAAGTAGGGCGCATTGCCACTTAAAGGGTTAATTATTATTTTACCTTAAATGTTATTTTACTTTAATGTTATTATTTTACCCTATATATATCCTAGTACACACTACTACTAAAGGGGTTGAAATGAGTGGGCACCAGGTTGCCAATTGCAACCAAATTTTTCTATCTGGTGACCAGTTACAGTATTAGTCAAAGATAGCCCATATGGCAATCGAGGAAGAACTTAAAAATAATAATGTAGTTTTAAAGCCTTAGAATATCTGAATGATTAAGTATTTTATTCTGCTTTTGCATATTTAATTTGCCAACATATTAGTAACACAATAGTTAATGTTTATAATTAAACTTAGCAACCAGACTTTATTCACTTGTAGCCACTTGGGTGACTAAAAATGTTTTTAAATTTCAACCCCTGTACTATTATCAGAATGTGGATCCCCTCCAAATGAAAAAACTTCCTTTCAGGGGGGGAAGGGTTTTCTCTGGAACAACCAATTAGACTATGCAACTGACCATAGGCCATTTCATTTCAAAATCATTTTAAAACTACCAACCCAATTGAAAAGTTTATAATGCACCGGAGATCTTTATTTTATTTGCTTTGCCAGTTTAAACTCTAGACACATTAATTTTATTCATAACAAATCATAGTATACAACAAACAACTGGCATCAGCATGCACCAATTACTGCAGTCCCTAAATGCGCCCTACTTTATTACTTTACCCTGTCTGACACCAGACAATTTTACTTGTCAAGAGTCTTGCACATTGATGGGTTAAATAACATACAAACATATTGATAAACGAAACTTTTCTATCATTTTCAGAAAATTCTAACCCCATACCCACCACAGTCTCAGGCCTGGCCGTAAGTATTTGGACAGGCGCGTGGCATACATAGAAATAATAGATATAGAATGCGTACTTGATCACGAATCATGTCTCCACTTTTTCTCATGCGTGCCCTTATAAATCCGCCATGTTAAATTTGTCTAGGAGTGCCAAATACAAAATATAAACAAAGCTAAAACTACGTTTTCATCGTCAAAACGTTTGTCTTGTTGTCTAATTTGAAATTTGGGGATAGATTTTGAGTTATTTGAAGGCACAAACTGTCAAAGCAATTGTGCAGTTACAAAAACGGTGAAAATAGTGCAGCCTTGTAAAAACAAAGTAGTTTCGCATAAATATAATTTACTCATAAAACATTTTTGCATGCTCTGAACGTCACTACTTCACTGTTTTGCTAATATTTTATAAGATTACAAAATAATAGTTCTTTCTTCGTCGGCGGGTTTCGTATCTATTATTTCTATGGTAGCATATCGCGCGCCATATTAACGTCAGGCGCGCAATTAAAAAAACGGTAAAAATTACACTCATTGGCTAAACAAACTAGAATAACATTCACAAAACTGAGTAAAAATTTGTGTAGAACAAAACAATTTTAACATTGGAATTCAGACGAAATTTGTGTAGGACCTATAGGTACTATATAAAATGTTTGTACCAGCGAGTATGTGTTGATATTTACAAAGTCATTGTACTTTAAACATCAATGAAAATGTCAACATCGCTGTCCTCCGACTCGCTTTGCGACGAGCTTGACGAATCACTGTTATCGTCAATGGTTATGGCGTCTTTCTCAATTCTACGCTTTTTTAACAGAGTTTCGTCATCCACGGTGTTGCTGTTGAGTTTGACTTCGCTCAAACATTAAGAAAATGTTAAATTAAACACCCTTGATGTCAGTCTCATGACAGTTTTTGAATACTATCAGTTTGCCACCAGTCTTTCCTCATTGAGGACTAGCATATAGAAGTTTGTTGAAGGATTACATATGTGCAATTTAGTGTATAATGAATTGTTTAGTTGCTGACTCTCCTGTTGTTATTGTAATTTGTAACAGTGAGAGTTATGGAAATTTATTGGGTCATTCCAGAAAAGATCCATACCCCCCCGGAGTAGAAATCAAAAATACTCCCTCGGACATCCTTGAATGATTCATCCTCCCCCCCCCCTCTCCGGATGTCAAAGCCCAAAATTACCCCCTCCCCTTTGGACATCCACTATTTCTAAATTTTTCTGAAGGCTACGCCGCCGTTTGAAAACGGCGCCGAAAAGCACTCGTGTAAACCCAAAATAATTCAAATAGAGCCAAGAAATTTAACTGAAAAGCATTCGAGTTTACTGTTTTGAGACCCGAGCTGCTTGGTTTGCAAGCAGTACACTAGTAACGTCGTTTGTGTTAACACGTCGTTTGTGTTAACACGTTTTCATCTCACTCCGTTTAGAGACCATGTTCAAATTGGGGTTGTTTTTTTTTTTTTATATAAACAGTATTTTATTAATTAAATTAAATGCAATTGCTCCAAAAGCGTCGAAGCTTATCTAGGGAGCTTTTGCTAAAAATTTGCAATATTAAATTATATAAAAAAAATTTTTGAAAGAAGAAACACACGGACAAACAAGACAACTAGTTAATTGAATACAGTCGGCACCAAAATGATTAACTGCAGCCACATGCAAAACGACCCGACTCAACTATAAATCTCTGAACACTAGTGAACAAACTTTTATTAACAATAAAGGAAAAAAATCGGTTGCAGTCAAAAAAGAAGTGGGAAGTAGTCTCATTTGGATACCCACATGCACAGGAAGGAGAGGAAACACACTTTTTAAAAACAAATCGTAATTTAACGTACTGTTAGACAATCTAAAACGGGTATGAAAAATAGCCGGTAAACGTTCACCGACGTAATACAGAGGATTACAAGTTGAAGTATCAAAGTGTCTTATTACATTATTTTTGAAACAATCAAGTGAAGGACTAGAACGAACACTTTCAGGCAAATTGTTCCAAAGATTAATAGAAGAAATAAGGAATGAATCCTTGAAGCGTTTTGTTCGAGAAAAGGGAACAGTTAGATGATCATTAGCACGTAAATCATAATTTATTTTAGATTTTACATATTTAGGACATAGTTCAGACAAGTACAAAGGAACCAAGTTATTGATTAATTTATAGATCATAGATAATTTATGATTATTCCTTTCTCTCTTTTAAAGAAAACCATGCAGTTTCTTTAAGATTTTTTCTCTGGGTACCTTTCAAGGCCCCCGTTACTAAACGTGCCGCTTCATATTGCAACTCTCTAATAGGTCTCGGTCGGCTTCACAACACCCATCCCACACGATATCAGCATATTCTAAACACGAACGAACAAGTGATTTGTATAAAATTTCTAGTGTTTTCCTTTGCAATTTCAATTTTAAGGGTTTTAACATGTTTAGTTTCTTTGAAGCTTTTTGATGGATTTTTAAAACCTGTGTACGCCACGAAAGATTTTGAGTAAGGGTAACACCTAGGTGATCATGTTGCGAAACCGTCTTAACAAAACCGTCTTTTTGGGATTCATGGTAACTAGCCACCAACTGGCCCAATCTGAAATGACCTTAAGATCACCATTAAGTTTGTTTGATGTGTCAACTGGTGTAATAACTTCATCCATCAAGAGAGAATCATCCGCAAATAAAAAACATGTTGAAGAAATATTGGTCGGAAAATCATTAATATATATTAAAAATAACAAGGGACCTAGAACAGACCCTTGAGGGACCCCTGCCTCAATCCTTGTCCAATCAGAATTTCCCCCTTCAATAGCGACACGTTGGCGTCTAGTGGCTGGAGTGAATAGCTTTCAAACCATTGTAATAAAGGTCCATTAATTCCAATACTTTGTAACTTAGCAAGAAGGCCCCTGTGCCAAACTTTATCGAAAGCTTTGGAAATATCTAGGAACACAGCACGTAATTCATGACCTTTTTCAAAAGCTTGGTATATTTTATGGATAATATAAACCAGCTGGGAAACTGTTGAATCTCTACAATTACCAGCATGGTAAATCCGTTCATTGGTGATGAATCATCGCTACTTCAGCTGTCTTCCGGCGTTGTTGCGGAACAGGCCGTTGCTTCCGATCTTTTGAATGCAAAAGATGACGGTGAAAAGCTTTTTCTGCAATTTGTCTCGACCAGAGTGCAAAGTAATTCTGTGAAGTTTTCTGAGACACTTAAAAAGCGAAATGTTCTCACCTTTGGTACAGTTCGAAAGAAGAAGGTAACTAAAGCGGCTGGGCGCGAAATCACTATGAAAGCAGGCAATAAGCTTTTTGCTCGACTTCTTTTGGTAGGAAATGTACGTAAGATTCAGCTGAAAGAGATGTTGAAATACAACTTAAAGCTAGTTCCACCAGCAATATCAAGTCTTCAAGGGACGCTGGTAAAGACCAACAAGGCAACTCTTCTTCATTACATCGAAGGAGCGGTAGAAAATCCTTTGGTTGACGTTGTTCCTGAAGGAAGCGTGTGGGTTCTTGATGGATTGGTTATGTTTCAGCAGCTTCGGAACCGAGATATACCAGAGAAATTTGGAGATTTGGCTATTTTTCTTCTGACCCGAATAATTCGTCTAGCTAAACAACATCATAGCAATGAGATACATTTTGTGACCGATCGTTATCCTGAAATGAGCATTAAAAATGCGGAACGAGGTAAAAGAGCAGCTACTGGAAGTGAAAGAATAAATATCTACGGAAGAGGACAGCCTGTTCCTAAGCAGTGGCGCAAGTATCTCGCAGATGGCAAGAACAAAGAACGACTGGTCGAATTTTTGTTTGAAGAATGGTCAAAGTGTCCTGTTGCATTGTACGAAGGGGTAACATTATTTGTGGCCCATGGAGAAACATGTCATGCTTTACGCGGTGAAGGTAATGAAATTGATATGGTTCCTATACCAAGTTTACGATGCGACCATGAAGAAGCAGATACAAGGATGCTTTTACATGCCCACTATGCTGCAAGTCATTCCGCAGTTGTTGTCATTAAGAGCGTAGACACAGACGTTTTTATCATTAGTCTTGGTATGAGCAAGCAATTTTCTTCTCGACTGCTGTTTCACACAGGAACAGGGACAAAAGTGCGAACCATTGATTTGCAAGCTATTCGCAGTCAGATTGGTGACGATATCACGCATGCATTAATTGGTTTGCATGCAATTACTGGATGTGACTCGGTCAGCGGTTTTTATGGTAAAGGCAAGGTAAAGGCTGCCAAGTTGCTCTTTAAAGAACAGGCTTACCAGCAATCATTAGGAGAACTTGGCATGCAACACGAGGTGTCTGAGGATCTATGTGCGAGGTTGGATTCTTTTGTGTGCCATCTGTACGGTCAAAGCGCATGTGCCGATGTGAATGACGCAAGGTTCGTATTCGTATAATTATAGTTTGTAGAATTTGTATATAATGTAAATGTATGTTATGTGTATATTTGATAAGATTATCATTATCATCATTATTATTATTATAGGTTTAACTTATTCCGCCTGGGAAAGCATTCTGAAGAATTGTTGCCCCCGACAAACGACTCGCTTGGGAAGCATATTTTACGTGCGAACTACCAGGCTGCAGTATGGAGACGAAGCTTAGAACAAGCGCAGGATTTACCAGGACCAGTTGGAAATGGTTGGCAGCTATCAGATGATGGTGCTCTGGAAATCCACTGGTGTGATTTACCTTGTGCTCCGGAGAGTGTCCTGATGACAGTTCAATGTTCATGCAAAACTGGTGGATGTGGATCGGCTACAGGTATGAGTGCAATTGAAAAGTTTGATTGATTAGCATCGCCTGAGTAATGTTTTAGTCGGAATTTTAGCTCAGCTACCGTTTAGTATACCGCACATTTTCGGTGACGATTAATGTGCTCTATACTTTATCTGTCGTGATAACTTAATGCTTCAAAATTCCCTGTACCAAAATGAGAACGGAAGTGAAGAATTCGATATCGGTATTGGTATCGGAAGTCGAACTTAAACTCTCTAATTTTTAAATACAGGAAGACGAAGCAGCGCTGCGTGTGGATGCATGAAAGACAAGTTGCCATGCACAACGATGTGTCAATGCCAAGGTTGCACAAACAACCAAGAACAAGAGCTACCTGAAGACGAAATCGACGACAGTGGCTAAGAACAAGAGGACGATGAATTGATTATGGACGATGAATTGATGATGAACGATGAGTAAAACTCTGACTTTGAAAACATAATTTGAATACTGTATAATTTTACTCTATTGGAGCAGAGCCAACTAATTGATTAGGCTAGTTGTATCACTGTATAGGGAGGGACAGTAGTGCCACTTACGTCGATCCTTTGAAGTTTCTGTCCTTGCGCATATCGCATTACGCATGCTGCTCAGCGAGTAAACTGCATGTTCTGTCCAACAAGCACGCTGAACTGGCTGGTCCAAGCCAGCAAACTGCATATTTTTGCATAAAAATACGAGGATACGTTGCACCGCTAAGTGGCACTGGTGTCCCTCCCTTTACTATGATGATATCTTTTACAAAGATAAAGAATAATTAAATGGATTGTGCGGGGGTTGGGGGGAGGGGAGTTACTATGATTACTTTCATCCTAGATCTGGGAATGAACTTGATCATTATTCTTCGTAAGATTTTTATAGAAGGTCATATGGTCGAGCATTATGATATGCCATGTAATATAATTTCGCGACTAGGATCTTGTTTAAAGATGCTGTAAAGTCCGTAATGTAAATGAATATAAACTAGACGTTTCAATAGACCTTTCCCCTTTTGAGTGAAATTTTGATCTAGACAAGTCTGGACAAAAATTTAATTACAGCTTGAAAGAGCATCACAAAATTAGTAATATTCCGATGTTTCGTTGCGAAATGTTGTAAAATGCGGATAATATAGCCTTGCGAAGTTTGCTGTTTTCAGTCATTTTGCATCACAAACGGGAAATTGATAATCAGATGATAAAACTGATTATCAATTTCCCATTTGTAATACAAAATGATCGAAAAACGGCAAACTTAGCAAGGCTATATTTATGAGCAGAACTGATGCGCAGAACGGACTTTACAACATCTTTAAGCGCATGGACGTCTGAAAATGGTGAAAGAAAGCATTTATGTCTCACGCTTACGTAGTAATATTATTATTAACTGTGATGATTAGTAAGATTTATGGTAGAATTTTTAGTGGTTCTAACATGAAGTAGCCGATTGTAAACAAAAATTATTGCAAGCTCAGCAATTTTTCAAATTCCAATATGGCCGCCGTTGTTTGTGAACAGAGGTGCACAAAATGTCGATTTTTGTCTTAATGTGCACATCTCCGATAAATTCCAATCGATTTTTGTCTTAATGTGCACATCTCCGATTTGACATACATCTGGAAATTAATCATCTATACTTCAGGTACGTATCTTAAAGAAACCAGCTGGTTCCTCGATATGCGCATACCCATTTACTTTTTCGATGACTTTTTGGCGGTCGGCCCATGGTCCAGGTTGGAAAACTTGCACTCACTCGTAGCTACACAACAACTTAAAGCTACATCTCGCACCTTAAATTTGCTTTGCTCGCACTTACCACCCGATGCGCCTGACGCTCGCGTGCCCGATTGCAGCAGAACTCAGAAATCCGACCAGAAAATTGAATTTATATAGTTGGAGAACACAACTTCTTTATTAATTTGAATACACCATATATACTCCGTCTGTTAGATTATGACACCAAAACATGCATATATAATATAGTATAAAATTAACGGATACAATAAAAATGATACCTTATGCATATGGTTAATCGTACATACAAAAGAGCTGATCCTAAAGAAGATAAGGATATTTTGGTGGCATGTTCTTATTTCTGTGAATAACCTTTGACTGGTTATTTCTTATCAAATAGTTCCTGATTGACCTTGGGTCGCGAAGCATAGCAATGTGGCTTTCCAAATATTTCTGAGCAATACCTTCAACCAGATTGTCTGTATTGTTACCAATATGAGGAAGTAACCAATCTAGTTTTGTTCTTAGCTCCAAGATCTTATTGGACTGATGACATCGCTACCGCTGCGTATCCATAAAGCAAGTTTATACATGCCCATAGCATTATAAACTTAAGTTAATGAAACAAGCGTTAGGACAAGAGTAAAGTTGTGCAAAGTCTCCTGGAGTACAAATGTCTGGTACAAAGGTCAATCTGTGAATCATGTGATCATACACGTGCAAAGCACAAGGCTGAATTAACAACAAACCATTGTCAAATCTCTTCCCATGCATGTGCGGGGAAAATAGACCAATCAGGTTTCACCTCTTCGTCTGAATAGTTTCCTGCTTGGATCAGTAAGCCTCATTGTGTCACTTGCAAGCAAAATTGTATGACCTCTGCGGCAAAGTACTTCGAAATTACCACCCATCCGACCCTTCAAGGATTTTGCACCACTATATCATAACCCGTATCACATAATAAATAAGAATCTGTAAGTATTGTTTTGATATGCAATCCGGCATCAAGATTCACATGAAATGCAATTCATGTAGTGTTCTAGATAAAGTATTATGGAGTAGTTACTGGTTAATATGTTATTACAGGCACATATATATGTTGTAATATACAGTATTGGAATTGACTTTGCAAGTCTGGTTGTAAAAATAAAAATATTTGGTTGTTTGGGGATGGAGTGCTCCCAAAGGTCACCCTCAACCCCATAGACTCACACAAATCAATGTATTATACAGTGTATTGTAAAGTAAACAATGACCATCACGGGGATCTACTACCCCTTGGAAATTAATGTAAACAATGACAATCACGGGGATCTACTACCCCTTGGACATTAAAGTAAACAATGACCATCACGGGGATCTACTACCCCTTGGACATTTAAGATGCCCATCTCGGGGATCTACTACCCCTTGGGTAAAGTCCAATATGGGGAAACCACAACCCCCTGAGGACATATAATTATATCATAAGCATATTGCTGTAATAGTGAGTCTGTGGGGCGACACTTTGGCCACAGTTTAAAGTATAATCGGAGCGTTTCTCCTTGACAACCCTTCTCCCACAACATCGTGTGTGTCATAGTTGTTTTCTTAATTGTCTTAGAATATTTGCTTAACGAATTGGTGCATTAATTGTTACATATATGGTAATTTCATGCACTTTATAATAAGTGCAGGTCAAAAAGAAAATAAAGCTATTTCCTGCATGAGGTAAATTAGCCTATACATGTAGCTTGGCCGAATTGAGAAATATCTGAACATTTGACATTTACCTGCTAATGTATATATTTAATTTTTATATAGCTGTTTCCTATCAAGCTCCGCTTATATAGTTTAACATGAATGATATTTGGTGAGAAAATTAAACGTTAAAGTTTATGTAAATCAGCAGATATACAAACTGCATTATTTCTTTTGTGTTATCCAAATTTTTTTGTACTATTTAAAACATGAGCAGCAGTGTTTTATCAGATATAAAGATACGAGGCGAAGCCTAGTCTCTTTAGGTCTGCTAAAACACGCACTGCGAATGTTTTACATTGCTTCAAAAACGATCCATCTAGTAAGTTCATTGGCGAAGTAATTTTCCAAAAATATGTTGTGTAAGTCGAGAAAATCAACGTTAAAGTTTATGTAAATCAAGAGAAATCTGTATCACCTATAAAGATATGGCACGCTTGTGATTTTTCTTTGTGTTTTCCTCATGAATTATTATAATGAGTTTTTGAAATGTATTTCAAACACTCATTAATAATTCATAAGCTTATTGGCAAATCATGTCAACCATAATGTGTCGCGTGCATGCAGTGGCTTTAAACCTGATAAAACACTCCTAATTAGTATTCTTTATATAAAGAATACTAATAAGGCAGTATCTATTGTAGTCGTGTCCTCATTAGTATTCTTTATATAAAGAATACTAATAAAGCAGTATTTCTATTGAATTTCTGGTCGTGTTTGAAGCCGTTTAATAAACTCGCAGGTGGTGTTTTATTAGGTCTAAAGCCACTCGCGCTGCGCGCTCGTGGCTTTAAACCTAATAAAACACTCCTGCTCGTTTATTAAACAGTACATAGTATGCACAGAACTCGAAAATAAAAAAATGTGAGAACGGTTGATACTTACCCTATTACGATCGAGTAACTGGTAGTGATCAAATTGGTCGTCCATGAGTAATAGGTCTGATTTCTCCGAATGAACATCCCTGAGTAACTCACAATTTTTGTCAGAATTTGAGGTTTTTCTGAAGTTAATAGATCTACATGATGTGTCTTCATTCACACAAAGCAAGTCTAATTCAAATAAGGTTGTCCTTCCTTAAACCATAAACTCTGAGCATGCAAGGGATGATGGTTTATTGCTTATTTTGACTCATAGACTTTGAAATTTCACTTTGCAAGAATACCTAAGACATATATAAGACTCATGACAGAAAACATAGGCCTATACTTGCTGCAAAGGCAATTTTCTGATTTTAAGAGTCTAATACAGGCGAAAACCCATCATCCCTTGCGCGCTCAGAGTTTGAGGTTTAAGGTTTTGGAAGGACAACCTTAATTGAATCAGCTGTATATTCTTTTATTTTCTTTAGGAAAACAATAAAAACATATCAATGTATTTCATGATGCATATAGTATGCATGTTCGTTTTGGAATTGCACGGTTGTAGTATTGGTGGCTCTGTGATTAGTGTATATGTGGCTTGGGCGTCTCTTTTCTTGGGCGTACATTCCTGTTATATGCATAATTATCCCATAATATAATTTATATTAATACAGAACGCAACCAATGAACTCAAGTCGCTGGCGGAGGTATATGCACGCAGTCTGCGAAAGCGTTCTAGTTCCAAACCGACTACAAATTCTATTCGCGGATACACCGATTTTGTCATATCAGTGTTGCAACACTGCTGTATGGACTGATAAGGGTGTGTCCTTTACTGTGACTGAACCTCAGGGACATGCAGTTAAGTTTATTTTGGTATCGTCTTTGACCTGTATGTCGTTGTCATATTGTTCATATTTTGCTATCCTGTTGTAGTAGCCTATAAATGCATTATATTAAATCGGTTCCATGCCATTTTTAGTTAATATTTAATACATAAAAACAATTGACAAATTTTTAACATTTATTTTCTCGTGAAGATGACTGTAAAATAATAGTCGAAACGAGAATTTACGCGCGGCCATGCCGTCGCCATCTGTTCGTAGGTGTCACGCGATGTAACTTATATATATTGGCCGGCTTTGCTCAATCTTAAAGTCATATATCATTTTAACACTTATGAGATAAGCACATGCAGTTACATTCATGTCAATATTCTAACAAAACATTGAAAATTTGAGGTGTGAATAAAAGGACATCAGTTTCTACAAACACTTGCAGTTTATCAAAACATACCTTCCTTTGATCCGTCAAAACAAAAGTGGAGCCCTTCTCCAAAAGTTTGGTGATTCAAAAATATCAGCAACAATAGCCAACTGAATCTCAGAAATACAGAAGGCAAACGCCCAGCTTGCATGGTCGATGGCAGGTTTCACGACTCATGGCAAATTTCTTTTGCCCAAAACCGTTGAACAGGTGGCATGTCGATATTACTTATTTTTCTGTTCGCTTGGAACAAACGGCTCATGAATGATTCAGTATCTTTTCAATATTGACAGAAAGACAGTGGATATTTTCTGCCAGAAGCCCTATTCATGCATCAGTATAGACTGACTAACGAACAATGCATGTATAGACTGACTAATGAATATACATCAGTATATAAACTGACTAAAGGGATAAAAATTAATATAACACACAGCATTATTAAAAAAATGCAGCGTCCACACAGCATCATTAAAAATAATGCCATGCAGCCACACGGCATTATTAGGGAGTTTACTGTAAGACGGCGGCGTCAGGACGACGGCTAAACAAACTGTTTGAAATAAATGATTGTATGGAAATATTGTCTTGCTATACTTTCGTATGTATTTAAGCCGGAGGAGTTTTTTTCGCGCTCAAAACTAATGCGTATATAATTAGTATTATTTTACAGATATTATTTTACAAATATACCACTTGAGGTTATGACTAAATTCAAAATTTTTATTTTTCAATACGTTTCTCAATCGGCAAACAAACTTAAAAAGTATGTTTAGTGCTTTATCTGTAAAATAATACTAAAATGAAAAGATTTTAGATGATACGCCAAAGAGAAAATGATGTCTGAAGTTCAGTAAGTTTTGCTTATATGACTGTAAACATGGCGTCAATTTTAAAGCATCATTGATAATTATATTTTAGTTGACAATTTTTGACTATTATTTTATGTTTCTCAACCGGCAGATGCATCTAAAAAGGTTGCTAACTGTATAAGCTATAGAGAATAAAGCTAAAAAAGTAATTTTAGGCCAAAAAGATTTTAGGTTTTGAACACTTTTCATTGCAATTGATCAACTCAGCTAAAAAATTGCCTGTCACGGCTTGAAATGCTAGAGTACTCTACGAGACGTGAAAATATGCATTTTGCCGCCGTTGTCAACAGAGCTTGGACAGTTGGCCAGGACCAAATCTACGACGCGGACGTGACGAAAAACTGTCGCTATTATCACAGTTTCGCCTCACGGGTAAAAACTATGGACGGCTGTTGGTAAACAAAGCCAGGGACACGAGAAAAACAAAGTAAAACTATTCTCCAATTATTAGCAACTGTTTTTTAGTCGCGTCCGCGTCGCAGATTTGGTGCATCTTGTAGGCTCGCTTTGCATAGTCTTTGGGATGTGTTATTTTGGTTTTAGGCATGCATATATATACACTTTTTGACATTCTCAAAATTTCTGAATAGCTATGCAAAAGTACTTTTCATCCTTGTATTTACGCAATAAGTAAGTACTTTAATAATGCCTTTCAAACGTATAGCCCATATTGATGTCTTATATACATTAGATAGTGCATCTAATTATTCTGCAATTCAAAAATTGAAGCCGTGATTGCAGGCTCAGGATATTCCCATGCATGAAATGAAAAGATTCGTATGTTTTCTATTTCTTAAACAGGGAACTTAAACATTAAGTTAAACCTATTCCAAATACATTTTTAAACTATTCAAATGATGAAAGTTATTGTCGTTTTCCAAGCGTTTATTAGCGAGTGGGAACTACCAACATGGCTGCCGTCTATTCAAATTAAATGGGGGTAACCGCTGGAATATTCTTGGCGCCGGAACATCGCAAGTCCACGCATATTGATGGAGTTTTGTTCCCTAAACAATGTGAACATTTGTTCCGGAGGTTAACATGGGAAAGTGTCGAGTTCTTTCTAAAATATTGAATATTAATTGACAATGTCAATGTATTTCGAACAACTTGTAATCCCCGAGCCACGCGCGTATAGCGCGTAGGGCGAAGCCCGTGGCGAGGGTACTAATTCCACTCGGCTATTTACACCCGGGGAAAGGAAAGCATTAGCGAAGTTTAAAATGCATCAATAATCACGGGCGCACAGCTATATGCATGGATGGTCATCTCACTAATCTCAAAAATGTAGCTGTTTGCCAGGAGTGAAGAAAGCAAAGATTAAAAAACATGCATGACAGAAAGCTTGGACATCTTTTCACACAAGTTGTGAATCACCTCCTTCAAATTTTAAAGAAACGATAAGTATGAGAAATCCTGAAGTATAGGGTAAACTTGTTTTTACTGTTTATGCATGACTTTGCTGTCCAGTTTTCACCTGAAGTTCTCGAACATATACAGCTTTCATTTTCATTATTTTTGAACGTTTCTTTGAATTAACTTGTTTTAATTTTTGGAAAAGCTCAAAAAAGGCAGAAAATTATATTCAAGAGCGACGTGTATGATTTAAATTTAATTCATTTCAAAGTATACAAATATATAAGGAAATGCTATTGGCTAATTAACCTTAATTGTGACGTCAATCCGTGCGTCTGTCCTCCCAGATCATGGCTTTCGACCAATGAAAGCGCTTGAATTCTTAACGTTATTATATAAATATTCATACAGTATATAGACCGATATGTATTGTTGCACCGTGATAACAAAATTATTGAAACATGACAAGAACATTGTTACAGCAGTATAACATCATCTTGTTTCAACAAGATTTAAGTAACAACGTTACAACATAACAACATTGTTCAGCATGTTAATAACATTGTTACAACATGATAACAACTTGGCTACAACATGACAACAATATTTTTTTTCTCGGCTATTTTGCACTCTTTTATCCAAAACTTGTCGAGACAACAACAAATTCGACGAATGCCAAGCCGGTTAATTTTACACGTAAAACTATAGAAAATTGCTTTGTTCCTTTGGTCTATTCCTTCTTGCTTTCTGGTAAATTTTGTGTTTTAAAAGCTCTTATAGTTTTGTTTATATTTTTGGCTAAAAAGTAGTGATGAAGAGGGAAAAAACAGAAAGAGCAAGGCAGTGCCACAGATCACAGTGCATTATTACATCGCAATGCACGCGCATTAGCCAATCAAATCGTCTGTTATATCACACTTATATTATAAAACATAATAACAACATTCTGATTCCTGTTGGTGGGGGGCGGGGGTGGGTGATTGCCCACTCAGTTATATAGTATAGTTAAAAAAAAAGGTTATGCATCAGTGTCCCTTTCGTTTTGTGCACGATGATTATACATAATTTTCCCTCTATACTTCTACGATTTTCTTTATGGTGCAAGCATTGCTCTGTTGGACTACTTCTACTTCACGGGTTATACAGCCAAGTGGCAAGTGTGAAAGTTTTGCCAAGGTAACATACTTGGTTTTTCCACAATGGAATATGATTGTTTAATTACCTAATCGTGCAAATATACAAGGGACTTGCTACTGGACGAGTATATATCCAAATGCTGAAATGTAGATATCTGTATTATAATGAGATACACCGGAGCAAATGGCAAAATTTCCGCATGTTATTGCAGACGGCACACCACAACCATAAGAAGAAGCTCCAAACCCGATGTACGAATCACAAGTATCGCAGCTATCTTCATTATTTGTGGCTAATCCAATCCTAACATGCGTGTAAAGATCGTTTTCTTGACATTTCACATTAAACCCTTCATTGTTGCAGTTGGATTGTAAAGACGAACCCGCGATGAGAGATTTCCATGTGCTCCTTCCAGCGGTTGTTTTAGTGGAACCCCCACCTGCGATCACATGAAAAAGCGAGCTTGCTTGGTGGTCGATCACAATCCATTGTGTAACATCGCTGACTTTCATTCCGAGGCATATTTTGTTGAATGGTGTGTTCCAGTAAGAAGCAAGTTTTGTTTGTTTTTCATTCAAACCTTCAAGTCCATCTTCAACTGCGTATGTTTCCTTGTTTGTCCAGTAAGGAGAGCTGTAGTTAAAGTCATTCTGCAAAACAAAAAGTTTACTAATTTCCCTATATATTACTGTTTGTCATGTTAAAGCTAATATTTTTTTGGATACATGCACTCAGTTGTTATAAAAACAATCATCTGTTATACTCATTCATTCGGAAATTATGCTAAATTATTCTGGATTAAATTGATCACAGCATAGTAGCCCAATTACCTCCGGCAGGAGGTTATGATTTTGTCCGCGTTTGTAAGTGTGTGTGTTTTACCTGTCAGCACGATCAAACACGGTCAAACGCATTAATTAAATTAAGCTGCTTGTTTTGCCGGGCAGAATAAACTGAATGCGTAACATTAGCCATATATTTAAAAAAACTGCTAAAAGGTGTTTCAGCAGCATTTCATGATGCCTGTTGAGTATTTTTCTTCTTTGTTAGATATATCTGTAGTCTCTTCGTAAGCTGGAAAATGTTCTGTCTAATTTTTTCACTCCATTTTGAGCATGTATGTACGTAGCCGGTCCGAGCGGGATGCATTGCATTTGTCCAAATCTATACGTGATAACAAATCAGCCAGTCACGTTTAGTTTAAGCATTAGCTACATAACTATAGTTATTATATACCTTGTTTCCATCCACTTTCATTACTAGTGTCCAGCCCCCTGGCCCGCATTCAGGTATTTCAGTCATGTGACAGTAAATTGAATACGTCTTGAGCGAATTCTTTACTTTTAGATTGTAAATACCATTGGAAAGTGATCTGGATAGTGACGAGAATTTTTTTTAAAAATTGATATTTATGCGCAGCAAACAATGTTTAAAGAAATCATGACAAAACGCTTGAATTATATAAACGTTCGGGGTGGAAGTGGAATATATTGAGATATATTTTGATTTATTTTGTGTTTTCTTTATGAATTATTTATATATGCAATCGTTTCGTTGCATGCTTCCATCGCGTACAAGTACAACACGGCCGCTCATGTTGTAAATAGTACATATATAAATATATATATATATATATATATATACTTAGTTACAGTATTCAAATATCTTTTTCAGTTTAAATAAAGGTGCTCCGCTCTCCTCTTGCAGTAACATTCGATGAAAAAGAAATGGCTATTATATACTGGATATTTAGTTATAGAATATTTTGTACTCGTTGTGGCCGATAGACATAAAATACTTTCGTAAATATTTAACGAATATAAAACATTTTCCGTGTTGATATACAGTTATATCACCACGAGTGGAAAATGGGAAAACGAGAAATTGTGTGGATCGGGTTTTCCCAATTTCCACGAGTGTTGATATAACTGTATATCAATATGCGGAAAAAATGTTTTATATGTGTTTTATAATATAGCACAAAGAAATATAAAGAAATAAATTTACCAACGTTTCCGTGTTGACATTGAGTTATATCAACACGGCTCTTAGCCAATCAGCGTTCAGAATTTACAAATGCTATATTATTAAAAGAAATATTGTTCATGCAAAGGCATTTTAGAATACATACCCATCTCTGGCTAATAAATCTTTGCAACTTGGGAACGACATACATTTCTTAGTTTCTGCAATATCCAAATATAACCAAATATTATATCACTCCTTTTATTGGAAAAGCTATACATTTAATCTTTATCAAACAACGTTTACCTTCCGTGAAGAACTGACTCTTATCGTTGCATTTCTGAAATAAATAAATAAAATGGACCTGTTATTTATTTCATTTGTCCACAACTACAACTTTACTCAATTTTAAGTCCTTTAAATAGCTGCTGAAACTTTCATCTATCACGTATGCTTAATGCATGTATTTACCTAATTTGCAATTGTTGTATTATTGTAATAAAGTAAATGACTTAAAATATAGAGTACATTTTCTGATATTTGGCCCATTAATAGAACACATAGCACATTTCTCGCCCCCATGAACTCACAATGTGTTTTAAAGTTTTAAATTTTGCGCAAGTTATTTTTGAATTAAGACTGCTAAAGAAGATACACACACCCCGCTCTGGAAAATTTATCTTTACGAAACATTTTTGTTATAAGTATACCCAAACAATCTATATTTATCAAAGAAATCATGACGTGAACGGATTTGCGAAGTTGAGAGCCGTTTCAAAATTGTCTATACTCTTTTATACACCCTGCATGTGCATGTATCTGGTAACATGAAATAAATTAAAGGGGCAGTGTCACGGGGCTGATTGGCTAAAATAAACGTCGCAAAGAAACATTTAAAATTAATGCTACATGATTGGAAAAGACGCAGCAGCATTCAATTTTTAAAACAAAGCAAGGATGTTGTACTACATAACCAAGGGATTATAAGTAGTATATCGTATTTCACTCCTAACTTGATTAATTGTTGGCAGATAGTTTTTCAAGTTCACGCATATTTTGGATGCGCAGTAGACCCGTGGCACTGCCCCTTTAAAGTAGGTGTCAAAAAGAAGTCCATGACTTTCACTGAGATTACTCGATAATTAATTGTACCAAAATTTCGCAATGTCGTATGGAGTTTCAATCAAGACTTTTCGAATATCAGTATTCATATAATTATTTTTGATTAATTGTCAACTTCTTGTGCATGACATCCTGCAATTAATAGGCTCATGCCCTCAAAACGCTCTTGCATGCAAACCAAAGGCAAAACAGTCGGTTCAGGGCCGTAACTAGACGTGATAATTGAGGGGGTGAATATTCATATACTCGTGTTCTGCCCGGCGAATTTCTTTTGAAAGCGATTGTTTTTACGGTATCTGAACATGATTATATGAATATTCCCCCCCGCAAAAAAAAATTATCGCGCCTAGTTACGGCCCTGACAGTGTTATTGTGTTAAACAAGGATTGACAGTGATCGATCAATGTCGTGAACAATTGTGAACTCCTGATTATTACTATAGAGCGGGAAAATTATGAAAGTTATCCCTATACCATGCAAAGGCATTTTTCTGGAGTAACATTTTGTCAAAGTGCAATCTCGTGCACGAAGGATCGAAAACTGCCTTTCGTTTAAATTATTTAATAATTTATATATATAGTTGATATGTGTAGATGGAAATATAGATATTAATAGTTTATATATGTATAGATGGAAATATCGAGCGCGATGTACTGTCGGCCATCTTGGATTATTGAGGATATATGCATGATACGTCACAAGTGGGGTCACGCAAGTTTTTTATCTCGACAGCTACAGTACAGTGATCAATATGAACGGCCGAATTTGCTCAATTTGAACCCGAATGAACTCAAATTTTGAATTGAATAAAAACAATTTAAAACATTATCAAAACGACAGTTAATGAGGTTAAGAATTAATCCAAGATGGTGGACTATACTCATTGCCTTCAGTCAAAATATTTCAAGAGTTAAGCTTGATATGAAAAATCTGTAAGAAGATTTTATAGATAATTTTAAACGTTCTTTTAAACGTTCTTCCTATTGAGACAATACATTTTTTTGTTGCCATTGTCCTTTAACTGTTACTTCAATATCAAGCGAGATCAGGACTAAAATGTTGAATTTATATATAGGCCTATACGCTTTCTCATCAGATATATGAATAGTTTATTGCAGCCTGAAAATTACAAATGCATGCAGGTGGCTTGATAATTCAGGAGCAAAACACAATAAAAAATCATAACCGTGTCGTGGTTTTAGTACTATTTACAACATGAGCGGCCGTATTGTATCGGATATCATTGTAGTAATTAAATCAACATGAATCTGTATCACAAATACAGATACGACACGCTTATGATTTTTCTTTGTGTTTTCTTCATGAATTATTAATGAGTTTTTCAATATGTGATAAAAAATCACGTTAATTTACATAAACTTTAGCTTTGATTTTCTCGGTTTAGACAAAGTTTATTTTAAAAATTACTTCGCCAATGAACTCGTATAAGATGAGTCGTTTTTGAAGCTATTTAAAGCACTTGTAGTCGTGTTTTATCACATATAAAACACTCCGCTACGCGTCGTGTTTTATATGTGATAAAACACTCACTACGCGTGCTTTAAATAGTAGCTACTTACGAGTCTACGGTGGAGAATAAAGAAACAGACAATATAGATTACAGATTGATCCATAAATTTTTAATAACATTCGAGACTTTTAGGCTTGCTATTTTAATTGCAACGTGCACTGAAATTTTAACAACGCAATGTAAGTATATATAGGCATAATCTAAATTCTAGATTGTCATGTAATGCGCATGTGATGATGTGAACATATATCCGCATGGCCAACATAACTGTGATTATTGTTATTTAAATGTTAAAAGTGTTGATTATAGCCATATAGGCTACAGCGTGAAAATTGGAAAGCTGTATTTATATTACATACAATTGTCAATCATGTTTAAAAATATATATCATATATGTTAAAAGCGGTTTATAACAAAGCTCATATATGATCTTACCCTTGTTACAATCTCATGATAGCTAAATGCCGGATTGTTTTGTCCATCATTCACCTCTTTCATTGTTCTATTGTTTAACTCACATATACCTTGATCTTTTCCACAGATTTTGAAATTTACAGATACGCACGATCCGTCCCTTGAACAATAACTAGTGCAGTGTAATTCATTTCTTGTTTCCAATGTCTTAAACACACAGTTAGGCAGATATTTTCCTTTTATTTTGCGAAATACTGCTTCGTTAACACATCTACCACGATTTAAAATCGCGAGCAAAGGGAAAGCTAGAAAAAATATTTTATCAAATGTAGACATGATCATTTGTCTGTTGTACTAGAAATGTAGCAGGTGCATGCATGTATTGTATATATGTGTGCGGTAGGTATAATTATATTTGCAGATATTGCATGTAATTAAAGTAACTAAAGTTAAAATTAGGCAATATAGCCAATTGAACAACCAAGCGCGAATCATGGAAATATGGGAATGAGTTATATTTTGTGCAGTGACATATGCAAGGATTCTGCATTGTAGGATTGAGTTTGTATTTCCTTGCCATATTGGAATATAGTAACACAACCATCTAAATTATAATACTTGTCCGTTTTGATGCAGCGAAAAGTGTAACCTGCGCTTACATTACTTAAGTATACATTGCTATTACAGCTCGAATTGTCCAACCGAGGCCGCTTTATCATATTTTTTTTTTTTTAATTATCAAGAGCCAATCACGTGATCCTATATTTTTTTCAGTTTTCAAATAATTAACTGAATTTAAAAAGCGAATTTAATATGCAGTTAGTTATTTGAAAATCTAAAAAAAATTAAGATTGCGTAATTGGCTCGTTGGTAATTAAAAAATATATGAAAAATATGCGAAAGCGGCCTCTGTTTGCCAGTTCGAGTTGTAATAATTATGTTTTTGACATAAACAGCAGGACTGGACGTGAAACAAGCTGTCTTTAATTGCAGAGAAAGCCTTTTGTCGTTAGTTACTGCGATTTTCACTCGACCTAATTCTGAACGTTTAAACGAAAAGTTTTATCGTCACGCGATGTCACTCAATCTCGTACCCAGCTAGAGCATGCCCGTTCGCAGACCAGCACCTAACCTGCGAACCGGCATACTCTGGGAAAGAGATTGGGTGCACCAAGCTCGTCTCCAAGGTCTTCTTTGTGATGAAGAAAACCCTGGGGACGAGGTTGAAGTAGCACTACAGTTTGTAGACCGCCGCTGAACGCGTCAGGATATCAACTCAGTGACGATCGAAGCTCGATTAAAAGCGTAAAACTGAAAGAACAGTTAAAAAAGGTGGAGTCGAAAGAGCTAGTTATAGCTGAACCTTGCCGTACCATTTTTATCGTATGTATGAACATTAGCTATAGTATTGAGATTGTAGGCTTAGAATATTATATAAATTATATAAAACCTTTACAAACATGCAGTTTGAATTGATTACCGGCACCCACAGGACGAAGTTAAATTCGTCACAGGGGCCCGGGGCAAAACTTTCCAAAGGGTGTCCTATGATGTGATAATCACTCCGAGTTTACACGGCCACCATTTTTATTTTTTCAGCATAATCACCAATGTGATACCTTACTTCCGATCATCCCCTGCACGCATAAACTAAAAGCTGGAATTGCCAATTGTAAAAGGGGAAAAGCGATGTATATCACATTTTATTACATATTATCCGACACCAACGCAGCTACGATTAATATTCTCAGTTAATCAATCTTGTATCAATACATTTTATGGACCTTCGTGGACCTTCGTTGCTAAATAAAAAAATCCTTAATTGAACTGTACTTTTTTTAGAGCTAGCTACAATCTAACGACTGACCGTGCCCTTGCAACATTCACAAATGGCCTCGACAACATTAAAAAATGGCCACAGCCTTGACAACATTCAAAAATGGCCACAGCCTTGACAACATACATCGCAAGCTTTTCGTTTAAACATTCAAACATTTCGACAAACAAATTGGCGTTCTAAGGTCGAGTGAAAATCGCAGTAGCAAATTTTGTTATAATTTGCATGCAAATATTATCAAAATTAATAAGTCTTGGACCTATTAATATTATGTTTATGTGAACTTTTTTATTGTTTTAATATGGCTATTGGGATTTAAAAGATATTCTAGGTTATTAAAGGGCATATGACTCGAAAATTGACGTTGTTAATTTTTAGACTGTAATTTGATAGATCATTGACAACTGTAGAGTAACGTCTTTGATAGATTTTCGTTTTCTTGCTTCGTTTTGAAGATATTTCATTTTCTATGATATGCAAAGGACCAACTTTCTACGTCACATATGCATAATGATTTAGCCCTAAAAGCTGTATATCTTTAATAAGACTAAAACACAATCAGTACAGAAAACCTGCATGGGCGTTGTTGTGGACAAATCTTGTGCTCATAATTCATTTTGTGCGAGTTTATTTGACAGTGACAAAATTATATAACATTTTAAAGTAAGTCATGCATTATGCATGTGCATGTGACGTAGAAAGTTGGCCCTTTGCAAATCATACAAAATGAAATATCAAAATCTGTCAAAGAAGTTACTCTACAGTTTTCAATGATCTTTCAAATTAGACTAAAAAATAACAACGTCAATTTTCGAGTCATATGCCTATTAAGATTACGTAATTGATACGACTACGTAAAACACTCCAAAGATAGCCTTTAGATTATCTTTGTAGTGGCTCTTTCCTCCACGCGCGGTTCCTTTGAACGCACTAATAAGTATAATAACCCTGGCAAAACATACTGGTATAATGCTGGGACGAACGTTAGGGGGCTTAAGGGGAACGATATTATTTAAATATTAAAATAAATTAAAGAACAATTTAAACTATACGTTATTCTATTTATGAATTCACTACGTATTCCCAACACTTTCATGTATTTATCTTTATTTTGTTAATCTACACTGTTTGAAATATGTCCCTTGTAACAACTCGTGACTGCCAACTCTCATCCACTCTTGTGTCACCAATTAATTTTGTAAATTAGCTAAATACGTTAGACACTTAAATAAAGTTTATTATTATTTATTATTATTATTTCCAGTTGCATACTGGGAAAAAGTGGGAAAAATAAACAAATCCATACGTATACAATACGACCATCATCTTGTATCAGTAAATATTTGTGCTCTATTTCCAAAATTTATCCATAGCATGATAATGGAAGTTAGTATGGAAATTGGAATTCCGTACTGTTTCAAATAGGATCCATGCTAGTCAATGAACTAGGATTTGGAAAGACAAATTCCAATGCTATAGTTGCAGCTATATACTGAGCGTATATAACGAAACAAATCACAAATGTATCCAAGCATTTAAATTATACATGGATCTGAAATGCTAAGTAAGATTAACACTAGTCAGGAGATTTAAACGAAGCAGGACATACAGCGACATACAATCATATTAGCCATTCAGTCTGTCGTCTACAGTAGTTTTTTAACTTTCTTTATGCAGTTTTCCATTTACTACATTTTCATGCCATGTTAATTAAATTAAGGGATGAATGTTTTATTGCACCAAGATATACCCAAATGCTGGGATGTTTACAACACGATCTACTGCGCATACTGCACGATTACCGCACGCCTGATAGTCGCTTATACGACAAGCAAAGCCGTATATACCAAAACCTATCCAAGAGTCGCAGCTCCGACAATGGACTTCGTTGTTGGCAACAAAACCAAGGCGAGCATTGGTATTTTGGACTTGGATATTAAAACCTTCACGGTTGCAATTGGACTGCAAAGAAGAGCCTGCGATCACAGACATCCAGGTGTCTTTTCCAGCGGTTGTGCCGCGGTATTGGCCGTCTGCGATCACACTGTACAGTGAACTTGCTTGGTAATCTAATATCATCCATTTGCTTTCACCATTAACGGTCATACCAAGACATATTTTCTTAATAGGAGTGTTCCAATAAGAAGCCAGTTTACTTTCTTTCTCTGTAATTCCTTCAAGTCCATCTTGAACTGCATAACTTTCCTTGTTCGTCCAAAAAGATGAATTGTAGTCAAATGTGGACTAAATTAGAAAGAACACAATAAATTAATTGACTTGATCGAGGTTGATGATTTAGTAGACAATGATTATTTAAGATATAATATTAGTCAGAAAATTAAAAGAAAAATTTCGCTGATTGTTTGGCTGCTTAATTGATGAATTGAGTGATTGATTATTTGGTTAAATAAATTTTAACATGCATTAACCTTTGATTTCTATCTTACCATATTTCCATTCACTTTCATGACTAGTGTCCAACCTCCACCTCCACATCCAGGAATATCTGTCATGTGACAATATATCTTATATGGAGACGAGTAAATGTTCAACTGCATAGTGTGGACACCGCTAGGCAATGACCTGGAATGACACAATGATACTTTTTTATAAAATAACATGTATATAACGCGTGTTCTGATTGGTCGAAACCCGTGTTTGGATCTGGCCATCCAAACACGGAGACTATCGTGTTGTTGTTATTTTATAAAACAATTACTTTATGGTTTCCGTATTTGGATGGCCTGATCCAAACACTTGGGAATGTTGCTCGAGTTAAGAAAAGCGAGCAAAATCACTCGCCTTCGGCTCGTGATTTCGCTCGCTTTTCTTAACTCTCGCAACATTCCCGCGTGTTTGGATCAGGCCATCCAAACACGGAAACCATAAAGTAATTGTATAATCAACACTGGAAGAATCTTTAAGTATTTTGGCTCAAAAACCAGCCTCAATAATATTTTGAGTTGACACGTCAGTTTTATGTCACGCAAACTAAGAATAGCTGATAAAAAAAACGTACCCTTGGCTTGCCTGTTTTATTGTCATACATTTGCTGTTAGTATAACACTGAAAATAGCCCTTAGCAAAACTTGTTTGTTTTAACATGAAATCATCGGAAAAGGAAGGCCTGAAAATGTAAATCGTAATCCGCACTATATGTAAACAAGTGTTAGCTAGATTTGTCTATGAATATGACACAGCAGAATA